CTGAAGTGTTTTTTTGTGATTCCCTTGTAGTTTACAGCCAACCTCAAAAAAACAGAGTACTCACAGTCTGTGTTTTTAAAAGGAGCTCAGATGTACTTCACCATCACTTAGCTTTTCACCATAATTCCTTTGCTCTCTTCTGCTGAGGCCCAATGGCATGGCCCAAATCTGGTCCTTTTTTTCCTTCCTGTGTATTACTTCCAATATCCACTACAACACATCAAGATTCAGGGACTCTGTGAGTAACTGTAGGGAGATTTTCAAGATCCCTTTCCAAGCTCAGCTGCAGTTGAACCAGCAGTACCAAGTCAGCAGTGTGTCCCACAGCAGCAAACTTCCATCCCAAGTCCATCTCTGGACTGTGCCTCCACACTGCAGCTATGGATACTCGAGGGAGTACTCACTGTTACCCTGAAAGGTACAAAAATTCCCTTATGCTGGAACACAGAGAGCATGTACTGTTACTCCCAACAGATTAAGACTGGAAGAGCTACAGATTGCCTAATTTTGGTGGTATTTGTTTCATCTCTGCCCCCGCAGCATATCTCTGCTCCCTGATGCACACATGTTTCTATAGTTGGTCAAACAGTGTCATAGTTGGCAACTTCTAAAGTCAAAGTTTGAGTCATGTCTACTATTATTCCATTCTACTGTGGTTCTCTGGAACAAGTATTAAATATTAAGCCCATGATCCCAGCAATAACTAAGCATAAAAGATGAAGAAAACCTTAAGGGCAGCATGCTAGCAGACTAAAATCTTCAAGGGAAATTTTCCTTTCCTGAGTGTCTGGAACATACTATAAACACACTGGTGCTACCAAAAATATCAAGTGATTTCTGGCTAATTTATTCTAAAGCCTTATGCAACATATTTCATATCAGTCTGCTTATTCATCTTAAATGTGAAATAAAGAAACCTGATCTCTCCTGGTTTTACTAGAAGTATTCTGGCTTAGAAGAATTTCATTTGTGAGAGCTCTTTTGGAATAAAGAGGACAGAAGTTAAGCCCCTGAGGAAAGAAGATCGAGGAAAATAATTTGTGGTATTTGAGAGAAAGTCTACAGGTTCATTTCCTCCCTATTTTAGTCCCATTTTTGGGATTTTTTAAAAGGCACTGTTTTTTTCATTAATCCTGGAATCTGGAAAAGATTCTTTATTGATTTTTCCAAGCACACAACATGCACCTGAATTCAGTATGAACTTCAAACTAAAATCAAAGTCAGTCTTTTACATTTCAGGCAGAATACACTCTATCTTAAATCACTCAGTGAAAAGGAAAAGGGAAATCTATTTTTCTTCAATTACTAAGGGCTACCTCAAACTGTAGCCAATGCAGTAATTAAAAGGCGTATTGCTATTAAAAAATTAGCACTCCATCTAACACATGCACTTATGGCATACTTAAATTGCCTGCAACAGGAGACATGAGAAGAAAGAGTTGCTAATTTTATTGACCTTTGATTAAACTACTGGAGGGCCCAAAGTATTTTAGTACCTCTCCTAAAATTGCAGAAGAGGAAAACTACCACAACTATCGTTGGCCAATCCACCTGTCTCTACGAAGAGTGTAAAGTTCTTCCACTTATTTAGTATTATGAACAACATCAGAGTACTGCTTCTTAAAACTCAAAGGACATTAACAGCCCCAGAAAAGCAGTGACTAAGCACTCCAAAACACAGCAGTTTAAGCCCTTCTCACCTCATTAATTTTAACTAAAACTTTCCATGTGCAACAGGCAAGTGTCAGCTTCATTATTTTAGAAAATAAATACTCCTGGGCTAAATTTGACAGGAATATTCACAGAGCTGCTATCAGTTACCTAGGTACCTGTTTCAGTTTATAGCTTAGCAGCTCCTCCACTTTGTTAAAGCCCAAACAATTGCATTTAACAATTAGTTAGTGCGAGTTCACTTTCAACAGAGGCCTAGTGTTCCTCAGACAAGCCAGCCCCCCAGCCCCTTGATAAGCAGGGTTCCATTACGTTATGTATCTGATGTTAATCTCCTGTTGCTCCAGGGTTTTAAACCAAGCTCGAGCTCCTGACCAAACTGATGGGAGGCTCAGGAGCTCTGCTTTGGTCTTCCTTTACACTGTGGCTGTCAAACACATAATCAGAGTAAAATGTGATCTGGAATGAAGGCTTACAGTTTGCAACGGAGTTTCTGTCACTGGAAATGGAGAGGAATGTTTAGGAAGGTTTTCTGCAGTAGCCAATTTCTTCTAGCCCAGAGAGTATTGAGCACAGGCTGCCTGTACTCTCCATTCTATTACAAAAACCTAATCCCATCGCATGACCTGCAGCAATTCATTTTAACAAATCAACAATTACAAATATTTTGGCAAAGTAAGCTTAGGTATTGTTTGCCTCTCGGCACAGTTCACAACCAGTTTATGGCTTTATGATAAAAGTCATTAAATCCAATCTGAAAAGCAGAATTTACAGCTCACTTAGCAAGTCAGGCCCATAAATGGATGCTTTCAATTACAGGACATTTACATGCACAACCATTAAGGCAGCACTGAATACATTTGAAAACTGTGGAATACTTTTTATAATAATTAAAACTTTGCGTACTGTTCTTTATACAAACAAAACTTAGGAATTTGCTTCAGCCTCAAGAGAGCTCAGATTCATTGTCACCCAGAACATACCACAAAGCCTGTTCTCCCAGTACTTTTGTGGGAAAGGGATTAGAGAGATGGAAACAAGGTTTGTTTTTTAAAGTTGCCCTCAGTAGCAGGCAGGGTTTTTTGAGCTCAAATAAACTCAATTGTATCAACTGGTGCTCAAGACTTCTGAAAGATCAAGTGGAACGGGAAGAGGGAGGAGGACCCAGGGAGAACCTTTCATTTGGAGATTCACTGTGTAATTCCAGGGTATTTGATTTTGGTGAATCTAGCTGCTGGGTGGAAGGAAACAAGAAAACAGCACAGAGACCAATTCTTTAACCTCATTTTTTCAATTGTCTGAGTTGTTTTCTTTCTTTCACTGTTAAACAGAACCTCAGGATAGCTGATGAATTCTTCTCCAAGGCTCTATAATGCATATCCAGCCTCTTCAGTAAAGAAAACTGGATCTTCAAACATACTCCTTTTGTTGACTGTGTATCTGACCCATACAACTGCAGAACAACAATCAGCTGCCAGGTTACTCTTTTCAACACCCCAATATGCTGTTCAACAGATGCTCAGACTCATCTTAAAGTGGAAACCACCTTAAACAAGACCCTCCCCTTCCACTTCTTAAAAGCATTTGTAACTAATGTTATCTTTCATCATGACAGTGCTAAGCAAAGGGGGGAAGGGACTTCACAAACACCTCCTTTACTCACACTCTCATCCCCCCCGAATTCGCCAGAGCTTGTAAACGTTAGAAGTTTGAAAGCTGTGCCTCAGAACGAGCACACAAACAACCCACTCACGCACCAACACCTCGACAAAGCATGAGAAAATCTAAACAAGCAACCTCGCTCTGCTGGCCTCTCACCTCAAGCAGAGGGTGTTTCTTTTCCAGCCTGGAGAACAGAGCAACAGCTAATCAGTGCCTCGCTGCAGAGGCCAGGCCCCACAGAAGTAATGTCATGAATCAGTTTGAAAGTACAGCTCTCCAGGCTAAGACACAACACTTGAGAAAAGACAAACCTGCTGCTACCTGCGGTCTCCTAACAAGCTGCTATTATAAACCTCTCGCTGCTGATGGAATCTAACCCGTTTATACCCCTGGACTGTGAGAGCATGAGCTCCACACATAATACACAAAGGTTTTTGGAGACACTCATTTTGGCAAACCCTGTAAATAAACTCTTTCCTAATGCTATCCCGCTCGCAAGCATTTGCAAAGAGCATAATACACGTGTTGGGTTTCTCTCAGTCAGAAACTGTGACGGACAACCAGAGAGACACAAGACCAGCCTGCAGCCTGAATCCCAGCTGCTCAACAGCTCTCCACAATCATCACAAGAGCTCTTCATTCATTCACACGCTTTTTTCCGTTCTTTTATTTCCCCAGAGTGAACACTAGAAGACCATGCTGTATTGCACTTCTCTTCCCCTCCACTCTGCACAAAACGAAAAAAAAAAAAAAAATGAAAAAACCCCTACAAACAGGAACTCCACAACTCTGCAGCAACAACACCAACCACTTGCCCTTATCACGACACAGCTTCCTCAGTGCACTTATCGAGAAATGAGACATTACCAGGTTGTGTGTGTTTACAAACAACACCCAGGGATGGAGTTGCCACAGCTCCTCTGGGAACCTGTGTCAGCACCTCGCTGCCCTCCCAGGAATTTCTCCCCAGAACCCCACCTGCCTCTGCCCTCTGACAACACACAGCTTTAAAGGCAGGAATAAAACCAGTGATCTCAAGTCCTGTCTCACGTGGGCTGCTGTGTGTCTCTTACACCCGCGGCTCTGCAGACGAGGAGAGGGGACCGACAAAAGGGTGAGGTGAAGCCTCGCAGTCCCAAACACAAACTCCTAGCTCCAAAACACAACTCCTCGCCCCACACCGCTCCCAACTTTCTTCTCCAAAACTCCAGGGAGTGCCGCACACCTAACCCTGCCTGCATGTCCAGGAGGCACACGGGGGTGTCCTGTGCAGCGCTACGAGCTGGACGCGATGATCCTCGCGGGATGCCTTCCAGCTCGGCATATTCGGCGGACCCCTGCAAGGAAAACACACCGGGAACGACGGGAGGCAGCGGGGGAGAGAAGGAGCACAACTTCTTTATTCCTCCCTCCCCTCACCCACACACACACATAGACACACACACACACACAGCGCGGCCCTCCCAGCACAGCTCGGGGGCAATGCCGGCGGGAGCAGGATAACCTAGCCCGGGTCCCACCACAACAAAAAAGGGCGAGGGCGTAGGGAGGCGCCCCCGGCCCCGCCGGGACCAGGCCCGGACGGTTCCTCACGGCCCGCGCAGCGCCAGCGGGGCGACCCTGCCCAGGGGGCAAGGACCCCGGGCCCGGCATCCACCAGCACGCACCGGGAGCCACCAGGATCCGCCGAGAGCCACCGCTCCTTGCCCTCCTTCTTCCTCCTCTCCCCTTCCTTATCCTCCTCCGTCTCCCCGAGTGCGGTGCGGCCGCCGCCTCTTCCCTCAGCGTTACCTCCTCTGAGGGCCCGCCCCCCGCAACGCCCCGCCCCCGCCGCTGGGCGGGGAGGCCGCCCATTGGCCGCATTTACCTTCTCTCTAAGCAGCCGCACTGTGATTGGTCCAGAGATCTAACTGGCAGTCAGGATCGCCAATGGAGTGCCCGCAACGTTAAAAAAAAAATAAGACAAGGGAAGGGGAGTGGAAGAAACAGGCGTGAGGCGGAGGGAGGCGGGCCGTGGCCGCAGCGCTGATTGGTTGGGTCGGCTGTCAGTCACGGCGCGCGCGCCCGCCGCGGGAGGCTGAGCGGAGGTTTGGCTGAGCCGCAGCAGCGCAGCCGCAGTGCGGTTCTGCCCCCGCTCCGTATCCTTCCGCGGCGGGCGCGACGGGAGCTAAGAAAGAGTGCGTGGATTCCCGGCGGGAATTGCCGCTGAGCTCCAGCTGGGCTCTGCAGCGGTGGGCAGTGACCCCTGGGCTGTCCCAGCCAGGGTGTGACACAGCCCCAGGGCAGTGCCCGTCCCTGTGCTGGCACTGCTGAGACACCTGCAGTGCTGGGGACAGCTCTGGCCCCTCAGGACAAGAGAGACACGGAGGGGCTGCAGCGTGTCCAGGGCAGGGAACGGAGCTGGGAAGGGGCTGAGCCCCAGGAGGGGCTGAGGGAGCTGGGAAGGGGCTGAGCCTGGAAAAAAGGAGGCTCAGGGGGACCTTGTGGCTCTGCACAGCTCCTGACAGGAGGGGACAGCCGGGGGGACAGCTCTGCTCCAGGAACAGGGACAGGAGGAGAGGGAATGGCTCAGGTGAAGTTGAGGTTGGATATTGGGAAAATTCCTTCATGGAAAGGGCTGTGCTGCCCTGGCATACCTGCCCAAGGCAATGATGGAGTCCCCATCCCTGCAGGGATTTAAAAGCCATTGGATGTGGCACTTGGGGACAGGGATCAGCAGTGGCCATGGCAGTGCTGGTGTCACAGCTGGACTCAGGTCTTGGTGGGCTTCTCCAGCCTAAACGATTTTGTGGTTCTAAATAGATTCCGACTGCCCACAGCCCCGCAATGGCACAAGAGCTCCAGGGTGGCTGTCCCCAGGTGTGACACGGACACAAGGCAGCCCCAAAGCCTGCCCAGCCTCCCTCTGCTGCCTGCCCCCCAAGCTCACAAACTCTTAACCGCCCCCATATGTTAGGGGATTTTTTTAGCTACTGCCTTCAATAGTCTTTGCAATGCTTGGACCACTTGTGTTGAGGTAATGGTGAAAAGTAACCAAATTCCTGTGCCCCAGCAGGGGCCCAGGGTCACCATAAGGAAATCAGAGCCTGTTACCTGGCAGTGCATGTTTGGGGACCTGTCTGTGAAACCCATGGGGCTCTGTTGTGCCTTGCAGTGATGCCCAGCAGATTCCCTGGAGCTGTTCATCCTGGGAAAGACAAGTTTGTGGAGACCTCACAGAACCTTCCAGTATCCTAAAGGGCCCACCAGGAAGACAGAGAAGAACTCTCTGTCAGGAACTGCAATGACAGGACAAGGGGGAATGGGTAGAAATTAAAAGAGGGGATCTTTAGGCTAGATCTTAGAAAGAAATTCTTTGCTATGAGGGTGGAGGGACACTGGGACATGTTGTCCAAGGAGGTAATGGATTCTCCAACCCTGGAAGTGCTCAAAGCCAGGTTGGACGGGGCTTGGGGCAACCTGTCTAGTGGAAGGTGTTCCTACACATGGCAGTGGGGGTCAGGACTAGATGAACACTAAGGTTACTTCCAACCCCTTAACATTGTATGATTTTATGAGTGGGAAGCCACAAGGTGGGATTTTAATGGGGTGTTTTTGGGATGAGAAGGTCTGTTCCAGATTTGCTATAAATCTGTTGGAGGTACTCTGTTTTTTTTGCTTTTGTCTTTTTGATACTTTAGTATATATCATCTATCTTCACTTCAAGCCACTTCCTTCACACCTGAAGTCACATCTCCCTAACTTTGTCTCTCCAGAGTCATGCTCATCTTCTAGACTGAAAAGGTTTCTGCACTCAGTGGTGTAGGTGTTATGATTCTGTGTCTAGGGCACAGGTCCCATCTCCACAAGGCTGGTATTCCCAGGAGCAAGGTGAATCACCTCAGAATATTTAGCCCTTCTACAGAATGTGGATTCACAGAAATCCCCCTCTTGCCTCTTCTGTGCCTGGATTCTCCCAGCTTGAAGCAAACGTGGCTTATTTTTTTGGTAGCATTTTCAGCCAGCCCCAAACGTTTGAGATTCAAGCTGGTCATGAAATCAACAGTGATGTGGAGAAGATCCCCTCTGCAGAAAAAGCAGAGCATCTGAGAGCTTGCCATCATGTTTTTGGAAGATAAGGTGTCCCAGTAATGTTGTGCCTGGAAACATATACAGACTATTCAGCTAGCATTGCACTTGCTTTGTGGAGGTTTTGCTGCATTCAGAGAGATTTTTTTTTTCTATGAAGAGTAATTTAATTAAGCTCAATTTTCATATGGATTTGCGTCAGACATTCCCTTCACCTCTCCTCTGCAACAGATTCATAGCTCCCTCTCCTCCTATCTCCAAGGTTGATTCCTGATACATCCAAGCCTCCCTACTACACAACTTATTGGTGTTTGCCTTCTTTCTGGAGCAGCACATGCTGTACCTGGTTCAGGGATGTGTGTGCTCTGGCTGGCCAGCTGCCTGCCCCTTATCTACTGCCAAGGAAGCCAAGCAGTGCTGATAAGGGCTGAGCTCTCCCTGCCTTTCTCCCCAGCAGAGCACTTAACAACATGTGTCTTCTCTAATATAGCTGCTGTTTGCCATGAAGCTTGACAGGCTTTGTGTTTCCAGAAGCTCTACTTCTCTTTCAGGTGTGGTTGAAATCAGTCAAAAGGTTGGCCAGCTTATGCTGGGGGATTCTGACATACACACACACACACAAATCCAACATTTGCATAAACCTTTCTCTAGGAAATAAAATTGCAAGCAGCAGCAGGAAGACAGCCAATGGAAGAAGGCAGCATCACGGCTTTAAATCCCAGAGCCCAGAAGTTGCTTCAGAAGCAGGGTGGCTGTGGAGAAGGCAGGCAGGCAGGATGTGCGTATGCTCTAGAAAGAGCTCCTAGCTGTATGCCTACACCTCCAGGAAGAGCATTGATTTAGATTGGGAATTAGAAAGATTGGGTTTTTTTTGATGAGGGTGATGAAACACTGGCACAGATTGGCCAGAGAGCTGGTGGATGCTGCATCCCTGGGAACACGCAAGGTCAGGTTTGACAGGGCTTTCAGACACCTGATCTCATTGAAGATATCCCTGTCTTTGGCAGGGGAGTTAGACTGGATGACTTTTAAAAGTCTCATCCAAATCCAAACCCAAACTATTTTATAATTCCATGAAATAATACTTGATTTAGTAAAACAAATAGCAAAACTCCATCACTGACACCAAAGCTGGATATTGTTATGTCTTATTAATTAATCACAGAATTCTAGAGTGGTTTCGGTTGGAAGGCTGGAAGACTGGAAGGCTGGAAGTTCATCTCATTCCACTCCCCTGTCATGGGTAGGGACACTTTCCACTATCCCAGGTTCCTCCAAGCCCTGTCCAGCCTGGCCTTGGACACTCCCAGGGATCCAGGGGTAGTCACAGCTTCTCTGGGCAACCTGTGCCAGGATCTCACCCTGAAGGCAAGAATTTCTTCCTAAAATCTTTCTTAAGTCTTTCCATTTTGTAGTTTAAAACCATTTCCACTTGCTCTTTCACTGTCTTCTGTGTAAAAAGTTGCTCTCTGTCTTTTTATAAGCCCTCAGTGAGGTCTCCCTGGAGCCTTCCCTTCTCCAGGTGAGCATCCCCAGCTCTCCCAGGCTTGGTCCAGAGCAGAGGGGCTTCAGCCCTGGGAGCTTCTCCGTAGCATCCTCTGGACTCACTCCAGGTCCACACATTTCTCAAACCAGGTAGCTCAGCACATTTTGGACAAAAGGCTGTCAGTCCCATTTGGACTTGAGGCTGCAGTGCAAGAACATGAGCATCTCTCTTAGGGTCTCTCTGAATGTGTGTGAGAGTTTCAACATCCTCTCAAACGATCTTCATGTGCAGGGACAACAGCTCCATGGTATCTGTCATCTGTCTGCTAAAAGGAACAAAGGAGGTTGAGCAGCTTGGTCTAGTGGAAGGTGTCCTGCCTGTGGAATAAGATGATCTGCAAGGTCCCTTCAAACCCAAACCATTCTGTGATTGTATGAATTAAACCTAGGACCTGAAAAAACATGATGAAGCAGTAGCTGGCAGTGCTGTGCTATAGTGCATACATGGTGACATCCCAAAGCCTGTGACCAAAGGAACTACAACATCAATATCAGGTAACTTCAAAGACACCTGGGATTTTTGAATGGCCCAACAGTAGCAGAGGTAGAAACAAGTGCAAAGTGCAATGCCATCAAGAAAGGTCTTGGAGGCAGAGTAGATAGTTTTTATGTTGAGGTCATTATTACCAACATGTCAAAATGATGTGTTAGACTGAAAAAAAAATTGAAGAATTTTGAGCTGAGTTATGATACAGAAAGATCAGTTCAAGGCAGATAAAAATGTATGACTGGGGTAATCCTCACCCTGGTCTGCAGCTTCCTCATGAGGGGATCTGAAGGGTCAGGCATTGACCTTTTCTCCCTGGTGACCACTGACAGCACCCAGGGAAGGGCTGGAGCTGTGCCAGGGAGGTTTGGGTGGGATATCAGGGAAAGGCTCTTCCCCAGAGGGTGCTGGCACTGCCCAGGCTCCCCAGGGAATGAGCACTGCCAGAGCTCCAGGAGCCTTTGGACAGCGCTGCCAGGGATGCACAGGGTGGGATTTTTGGGGGGTCTGTGCAGGGCCAGAGATTGGACTCATGGTCCTTGTGGTTTCCATCCAAGTCAGGGTATACTGTTTACTTCTGTGTATAAAAACAACGACAAATCCATGGGAAACCACTGTTAAATGTTCCTAGATTTCTTAGCTCATTCTGTTGAAGAACTGTTCTGTACTTCAATGGGTACTTTGTCTCTTG